TTGTACAACATGTGCAAAAAGCAATTTTTGCACAAACTGCTATTTGATTAATAATGCATGAAATGTACCTACTTTTCCCTATCTCATACATAAAATATTCCAAAAAGAAATGATCTGAATGAAGAATCCATTATAAATCCCGTATTATGCAATTAAATAGACAAAAAGTGTTTAGCAAACAAAAAAACTAGCATAAAAACCATTTCCTTTCAACTCATTTTAGTATCTCTTCTAACAAAATAAACCAATACATCAACTTTTCCGGAAGAAGGGAAAATAAAAATGGTCATTAGCATATAAAAAGAACCCGTGAATAAAAAAAAGACTAAACACCCGCTGGTGTTAATTGTTTTAGGATTATTTTGATAAAAGATTGGACACATTTATTTTAACTGTACTCTTATCATGGAAATGAGATTTGGGTTTTTCGTAGTAATTAAAACGAAATTGGTAATTATTTTTCCTCGTAATTGCTCAATTCGAAAAGTTTTAATCAGCAGATTTAACGAAAGAATTTATGTATGTTTAGGCGAGATTTACATTCATAAATCCCTCGACATTACTAATCTACTTAATAAATCAAATATAATAAAAACCTACCTACGAAGCGTGGAGTAACTTACGGTAAATATATTAACCCTAAAATTAAAGCTAATAAGTTTTTAATTGTTACTATGCTAGAACAATACTAGAACAACTTAAAAATGTGTCCTACAAAGTTTGGATATCTCGATTTTATACATTGTTCTATTATTACACTATCAAATATACTTCAGATTTGACTACAAATAGGCATACTATTTTTAATATGACTGCTTTATAAGGTTCCGTACCCGAAGGGAATCCAACAAGGTTTCGAAATCCTACATAGTTCCTACCATAGATTTACTCTTAATAGCTTCGAAAGCCTCGAGATATTGAGAAATTTAAAATTAAATCCTGTTGGTTGCTTAAATTCCCAGATAATGTCAGAAACTCCTCCTGTTTTCTCAACACTAATCTAAATTTATCTTTCTAACTTCCTTTTTAACCTCCCCCTTTATTTCTATACACATATTTTCTTGCAAGGGGTACATTTCAGTAAGTAATTTTTTTTCCCATAAGAAACCAACGAGCACGTTTAAAGATTGGGTTAGATTGTGTCATTTCACATCCGTCATTTTCTTCTTTTCTTCTTTTATTCTTCAGTTGCTTCACAACAGTTAACCCAGTCATTTCTTCTTCTTTCTTCTTCCTACAACATCACATACACTTGGTGACTGGTTCATGGCCCAAATCTTATATAATAAATAATAAATATTTCTTCACTCATAGTTTACATCTTATTACCTATACCCTGTCATGGGTTTACCCAAGAATTTTTTTTTTTTTTGTTAATACTTGCCACCACCTGTAGAGGCCTTAACTTGACAGGTCTCCTTTCAAAAATGTTAGTATTTTGAAAAAACAAGGTTGTTTAAAATAAGCCTTATCTTTTAATCTGTTTAATGTATGTGATTTGTTTTGTATAGTCTTGAATATTTTAAATTTTACTATTTCAATTGACTAATATTTGTTTTTCAAATATTTTTAACTTTTTATTACTTGTAAACTTTGTTCATTTTACAATTTATTTCAACCCACATTTGATGAAACTTGTTTTGTAGTATTACCTAGTGGATGGAGAGTATGGTGAGTTTTCTCTTTTTTACTATTTTATATATCGTTTGCTCTAAGTGTTAACACACCTTACACCACATATTCTCCTTTCCACTAGGCGAGCCTGAAGATGAAGTGATGACACTTCGAAACCGGTCGCACTCAATGTTTTGTTAAATAATTAAACATTGACTTTCCTTGTGAGATATAAAGGACATTTTCTCCCCCTTCACCCTAAAAAAAAAAAAATATACACATTATATATTTTTTGTATTATAAAAACTAATTTAAAATAAATAATAGCAGTGTATTACAGCGATAGAAAAAGTATGGTATTCAACTTGCACAGAATGTTAATTTTCTACCTACTACTCCTTCATTGTTAAACAAAAAATATACCTACCTGCATCCTATATAAAATAAAGAAACTAAAAATGACATATAAAGTAAAAATCATAATCATTCAATTTGCATAATAAAAAAATCAAATATTTTTTTTTATATTCACAAATACTATTTTCATATTCAAAAAATAAAAGCATATCTTAAAGTATTTTGTAAAGTAAAGCACCAGCTTATGTTCAGACTTCTCGATCCGATGGACCGTGAAATTATTTGTCGAAATATCAAAAGAAACTCACTCCTTCTTTTTTCAGTTTTTTCATCGCATTTTTATGACATAATTGAAAACAGCGAATAGGAACAAAAAGTATTTTATGTGATACTTCTTCGCGGGCTTAACCGATGCTAATCCGCGAAACTTTGACAAAAACAAGGAAACACTTTCAAAATATCCAAATTAAAAGCTTCCGAAATTATTCGGAAAAGCTTCTGGCAGTAAATCAAACAACAGAAAAATTCGTTCTAGCATTATGAGTCCCATATGAAAAGTTCTCATTTCTTTTTGGAGGCTTATATTTCGAGACGGAGATTATCTTTCAGCAGAAGAGTGAGAAATTGGATATTTTTTATGATAATCTATAACATGGTATATACCGAGTGATAAAAGATTTGTTTGAGAAATAAATGGTTTTAATTTATTGCAGAGATTTTACCAAAAATATCTATTAAAACAAGTTAAGCATTTTTTGATACACGAATTATTCCTAAGATTTTTAATATATTCTTCTAAATTCTATCAAAATTCTATCGGAAAATGAATAAACTGATTTTGCAACTTTATTGTCCTGTAGCATATAAAAGTTTTCAAAACGATTTATAAAAAACTGTTTATTGAAGACTATATTATAGTGATACCGAATAAGAAAAAATGCTCAAAATAAAATTATTTTATCGTAGTAAAGTTTAATAATTTTTAGACAATATGAAACAATTTAAAACAGTCGTAATAACTAGAGCCTTAAGAGCGCTTTCACACGAAGATACTGTATGCGAGATACGCGTATCCGAGATTCAGGCTGAACATACATTCAAATGGACCTTTTTACACGGTACGGGCGACGCATACAGTATCGCGATACGGAATTTCTGTATCTCGGCACATTCAGCCGCGGATGCAGAATGCGTATGCCGCATACCGAATAACTATTATGATATATGGACCTTTTCAGACATGGATACTTTTGTAACGGAGATTATATCATAGGCGCAGGATATTTTTCAAGGGTACCCTAAGTGCATCTATTTTAATCGATTAAACTGTATGAGAAAACAATATTTTAAAAATTTTAATACAAAATAAAATTTAAAAATTATGTTTAACGATTAAATTAGATCCACGAAGAGTTTTTTTTTATTTCACATATAAAAAATTTGCCCAAACTACAGAATTTATATATTTTTCACCGTCTTTTCTACGCATGTTGTATGCTCAGTCTTTAAATATTAAAGTAATTTACTCTACAGATGCATTTGCGTCAAACTCATCCTTTTTACTTTCCTATCTGTATACAGATATAAGGAAAGTATAGGAATCATGATTTTTTTCGACCTCGAGTTTTCGACGGATTTTTACGTTTTGAGGTCCCCTGAATCCGTTTTGACTATTTTCGCGATGATGTCTGTGTGTGTGTGTGTGTGTGTGTGTGTCTGTGTGTCTGTGTGTCTGTGTGTGTGCCTGTATAACGCATAACTCATGAACCGATACACAGAAAAACACCAAATTTTAAACTTAAGCTTTGTTTCAGCGTCCAATGAGCTGATTAGATTTTGGGCAGTGTCGGAACATCTGGGGGGGTACTTTATGGGTGGTCATTTTTATATTTTATGGAATATATCTGTTATTTACGTTTGGAGAAAAAAATTCTTCAAATAAAAGTTACTTCTAATATAATTATCTATAATTTTTGTTTTATGCAAAATTTTCCTAAAATGGTCCGTATTCGAGAAATTTGACAAAATGTAAAAAATATAATTTTTTATAAAAATTGTTCAAATAAAAGTTGTTTATAATATAATTCTCCATAATTTTTGTCCTATACATAATTTCTCTAAAATGGACCGTATTCGAGATATTTGAGAAAATGTGTAAATTTCGAAATTTGAAGAAAACTCAAAAACGGATAAAGGAAAAAACATTAAATTTTAAACTTAAGGTTTATTTCGGCCTGACGTGAAATGATTAGATTTTGGACAAAGTTGGAACATCTGGGGGGGTACTTTATGGGAGGCCGTTTTTATATTTTATGGAATATATCTGTTATTTATGTTTGGAGAAGAAAATTGTTCAAATAAAAGTTACTTCTAATATTATTATCTATAATTTTTGTTTTATGTCAAAATTTCCTGAAATGGTCCGTATTCGAGAAATTTGACAAAATGTGCAAAATTCTGATTTTTATGAAAATTGTTGAACTAAAAGTTGTTTGCGATATCGATTTCTATAATTTTTGTTTATACATGATTTTTCTAAAATGGTCCGTAATGGAAAAGTGCTAAATTTAAATTTTTCTGTATTTTCGTTTTCAATGAATATCTATAGAAAAATGTTTCGAGGTAGATGTATGTGTAAAATGTATATATTTAGTTTATCCTCTAAACATTTATAGAGATGCTGCAATAGGTTGTACAAAATAACCGGAAAATGCCTATAATAACTAGATAGGAAAGTCATGTGTTGGACACATCAGATTTTTTTTTTGGTAAAACATGAATTGGTTTTAAAGTTATTTGACATTTGACTGTATTAATTAATTGGAATATTGTTTATTATTTCATTATCTACCCTAGTCCTCGAAAAACCTCCAAACCTGTGTTTTGCATATTTTTACTTTTCAAATACTTAAAATGTTGCTATAAAAAAATATCAAATAATAAAATTAAAGTTGACAGATGTATAACAGTCAGGTTTGTTTGTAGACAGTGGCCTACTAGATATAAGCATTTTGTACAAACTTTTGATATAAACGTCAAAAGTAAATCATTTTAAAAGTAATTCGGAGTAATTTGTTATATTTTGCATTACTGTTATTACTAAGTGCTATAAAGTAGTGATGGAGCATATAGTTTTCGACACCGAAAAGTTTATTAGTTTGGTGGAGCCTAATCCCTGTTTATGGGACACAGGACACACAGATTACTGTGACCGAAATAAAAAACAACAATGCTGGGTAGAAATTTCAAAAGAAATGTGTGGTAATTATGAAGAGATGACGGCAGATCAACAGAATGAGTACGGTAAGAAAATAAAATATTTTATATTCTTAAATATGTACGTTGAATTAGTATACAGGATTTTAGATAAATAGTCTTTAATTGTAAACTTCATATTTATTAATTTTGTCCTTTCTACAAAATGACGTTATCAGCCTTTTTAATGCAACAATTGCGATTTTGAAGAAACAAATTTTACAATAATTATTATTAGAACAAATAAAAGAAACCCTCTTTATTATAAACTTTTTGTTTAAATATCTAGTTACTGTCTACATTTTAAACGCAACTATTTTGCCAGGGTAATACATCAGTATTCATGAAATAATCAGCAAAATAGTCCCGAATAATATTTGCTGACCCTGCGGTATTCGCAGCTGTATTTCTAACATTATTGTCATTGTCGTAAAGTCCTTCGAAGTATAAGGTATCTTCATGTCTGTATCCATCTCGTCTGCGTACAAAATTGTGAAGCACAGTACATCCTTTCACTATATCTTCCGCAAAGTCTATTGATACGTTCAGTGGTCGGTGGAATATTTTCCACTTGTTAGAAAGAGTTCCAAAAGTACACTCAATATATCTTCGAGCCCTAGTTAATCTATAATTGTGTATCCTTTTCTTTACAGATAGATTTTTCCCCCATATGGTCGCATTACGTTAAATGCTAAGCCAAATGGCTCGTCTCCAACTATGACATATGGTATTTTGTAGTCGTTCTTTTGTGGTAAAAAATCAGGAGCAGGAATATCTAGCTTTTGTGTTGTTAAATTTTTGTAAAAATAAGTATTTGTAAAAATACATGAGTCACTATTTTTGCCATAATCCCCAATATCCACAAAAGTGAAGAAATAGTCTAAGTCACACATAGCCAGTAATTGTATTGAGAAAAAATATTTATAGTTAAAATAGAGCGATCCACTATGTTGTGGTTTTACGAGTCGGATGTGTTTGCCGTCAATAGCTCCAACACAATGGGGAAAGTTTGCGTTTTTTAAAAAACCATCAGCAATATCTAACTATTTTTCTCGTGTTGGCTTTGGCATACATTGGTCTTTCATAATTGTGCAAATTAGCTTGCATGTTTCCTGGATTATTTTACTTGCTATTAATATTCCAACTCGGTAGTTATAATGTAGCTCAGTAAGCGAACAACCGGTTGCGAGGTATCTGAAAAAAAAAACATCTTTAATCAGTTAATATTTTTAGGCAAATATATTCAAAGAAAATGGAAGAATTTAAGAAACTCGTTTGCCCGAGAATTGGCCAAAAGGAAAAAGAAAAAAGTGGTGATGGTAGTTCTTGGAAAACGTATGTCTTTTTTAAGCAGCTCTCATTTTTAATGCGATGCTCTGCAAATAGAGAGTAAGAAAACTCAATTACCAAAAACAGCAATAAACTAACCAATCAAAAATTATTTTTTTTAGGACTACCTCAAATTTTGCAAGTGGAAATTCAGAGACAGCAGAAGCTCCAAAATTAAAAGAAAATGATGGTTTTGCTAATAAAACAGCTACACTTATACACAAAAGAAAAAAAAATCCTTCAAGAACAGACGACGATTTACAAATTGGAGAATTATTTAAAAAAAGTATTGAACAGCGACAAAAAAACGAAATGGTGTTGGACAATGACGCTGACCGACATTTTCTTCTTTCCTTTTTACCGGATTTCAAGAAAGTACCAGATGACAAAAAAATGGATTTAAAAATGGTAATAATACAATCAATTAAATCTGCTCAATTAACCACTCAGGCTGCCTTTACACCTTATAACTACATACAACCTTTGACATTACATTTTTCTTCTCCAAACCCCCTACCACAACAAAATGTTCCTACATATTCATTATCTCAACATTTTTCTGATTATCCTTCATCTGCCACTCCCTCTAAATCTTCACGGTTAACATCCAGTCAAAGAATAAACATCCTCAACCCTACCCTCTCACCCTATTCTATTAACTCATCCTCTATCAATAATTCTTAATCCATTTATTCACAAAGTTCATCTACTACTTCATTTAATGCGTCACAAGTTCCAACCAATCACAGAATAGAGACAAGTCATATTCTCTCACCTCATTCCATAGAATCAACTGCCACTTCAACAGATGGATCAATTTTGGATCTTTTTACTGACTATCAAGGTTAATAATTTTTTTACATTTGTACCAAAACTACATTCATTAATAAATAAATTTTAAACAATCATCTACAACTACTTTTTTCTTACCTTAAGGTCATGGACAATCGTTCTTTTGAAGAAATACTTTTGCGCATAGTCGTGTCACTTTTGGTTAATTTGCTTTCCAAAATACTATGAAGTTCTTCAAATGATCGAATGCTCATTCGAAAATAATTAAAAAATTTTGATGGGTCTTGCAACAAATCATTATATAGTTCCTTTGGTTTCTCTTAATTGTACTCTCGGATGAACCCACCAAAGAGCGCATTTTTCCTGTTTTCTTATTTTTCTTTTTTCTTAATATATACCACATATACCACATATATACCACTCTTCTAGATCCATAATTCAAAATGCTATGTATACACGGCACTGCGACTATTTTAGAACTGATTGAAGAGATGCCTGAATGCGATACAGCAGCCCAACTTTTCGACCGCGATTCTGTATCTCGGATACTCGTATCTAGCATACAGTATTCCCGTGTGAAAGAGCTCTATTAGAAAGGTTAACTGAAATAATTATTTTTGTATCTAGGGTTCGAAATAATACTTTGTTAAGGCACAACCGAGACAAAATATCGTTCGAGATGACCAAAGAATTCCGACCGCGGGATACAAACAATATTTTTTTTACGACTTTAAATTAATTAACAAAAACTATTAAACAATATAGTCCCCAGTATATCAACCTTTGGATTTTGTAACTTCCGTACACGTCAAACTTCCTGAGCGGCTTCATAACACCTAGTCGGACAAATTATTTCATATACTTCACCCTGGGCGATGGGACATTTTCGCGCTAGCTCTTCGTGAATTTGTCGTTCTGGCGTCTCTAAGGAAGTTGATACATGTACCTGCAGTTTTTATGTAAATTGCCGGTTTTTTATGTTACATTAACGATATGACATTTGTCGGACAAAAATCACGTAGCTTTGGGGAGTCCGACTCCCCCAACATGTCGCTGTGGCGTCCTTAAGGAAGTTTTGTGTAGTTTTAATGTTAATCGACTGTTTTTTATATAGTAATGTATGTTCTTTTGGTAAAGCCCTTCGACAAAGCTGCAATTCATTTAATTGTTACGCTCCAGGCGAGAAAAGTAGTTCCCATCTCTCAATAACGGGGATACCATAGATAGCGGCATTGCGGATCTCTAGGCGCGACAATCGTGACGTATGTGACAGCTGGCCCAGTCGATGAATTTTTCGATACGAGACGTTGGTAAGAGACACATCGGCGATATATTTAGACGATGAGTACTTTTTTGTTCTTTATTAGTGAATATATTATTTATAATTTCTAGGTCAGTGTTTTTTTTTTAAAAGAAGTCAAAAAAAGTCTGATTTCATCGTTTAGGGCACATGTGGGCAACATTCGGCCCTCGGGCAGGATCAGGTCATCCATCAACTTTGATTCAGAAAATTCAAATAATGCGCAAAAAAATATTAGTTTATTTGTAATTGTATTAAGCGTACGCAGTGGAACACCACCGTATTCTTCAACTCATTGTAACTAAAATCGATAATAGTATATTATGCAACGATCATGTAATCATGGTTATTAATACACAAGCATTAACCGGAATACGAAACGAGCCGAAGGCGAGTTTCGTATGGTTTAGGCGATAGAAAAATTATTGGTTTCTATTGATTAAAAATCTGTATCGTTATGAAAAATCTGTATCATAATATCTGTATCATAATGGGTATTATTTTGAAACGGATAATGGGCATATAAGTGCATTATTATAATACGAGTGTAGAAACATAATATTTTTTAGCGTGCGCAGTTGAATGCCACAGATCGTGTCAAAAATAGTCGTTAGAAAGAAACAAACAGATAAACATTCGGAAAGCGCTTGAAGCTTTCTCGTACGATCGAAAATATTCTAGTTACTTACTGGGGGTAATAAATAAAACGCTCAACGCGCGTCACCTCATTACTTCTTAACAACTAATAAAGTTTGCATCGCATATTAAAGCAAAAACGTGTCTGGTTCAAAAAAGCGGAAAGTGGACACAGAATATTGACAATTCCAAGACAAGTGGACTAATGAATACTTTTTGTCTTGCACAGTGGTACACCCATGTGTTTGTTGCGCATTGAAACAATTTCTGTTTTAATACAAAATGAAGCTGCATTACTCCAGCAAGCATTTTGCTCAATATAATTTACTCATGGGCCAGTTAAGAAACGATAAAATTAAAAAACTCATTACTAATTTCGGGAATCAGAAACAAATGTTCCATTTACAAAAATAAAATCTAGACAGTGTTGTTAAAGCTAGTTTTATAATTATTTCAAAAATAGCGAAATTATCGAAGTCATTTTTTGAGGGACAGTTTGTTAAAGAGTACCTAGTAGACATTGCAGAACTTTTGTGTCCTGAAAAAAAGAAGAGTTTGAGAAGTAAGCTTATCGCGACGTACTGTTGTTCGACGTAATTATATGATGGCTAGTGATGTCAAAAAAACATTGACAGATACATTAGCTGGTTTTCAAGCATTTTCGATTGCTTTGGACGAAAGTAAAGATTTAACAGCCCAGTTATCTATTTTTATACGAGGTGTTGATGAAGAAGTTGCAGTGACAGAGGAATTACTGGATTCATGGCCGCTACAAGGGATCACTACTGGAAAATATATTTTTACCGAGGTGCGAAGTACTTTTTTGCAATATAGTTTGCAGTGGTGTAAATTAGTTGGAGGGTGCACGGATAGTCTGCTTTCAATGGTAGGTTCATGAAAAGGATTTAGCGATATTCTGAAGAAAAGAGCAACCGCTATGAATGTGCAAGAATGTGATTTAATAATTTTGTATTGCATTATTTACCAACAAAACTTGTCTATTTGATTGAAGAATGTTATGGATGTGGTAGTAAATACCATTAATTTCATTGAATTTCGCGGTCGTAACCAACGCCAGTTTAAAGCATTTTTGAATAAACTTTCTTCAGAACACGATGTTGTGACACATTATTGCGAAGTAAGGTGGCTAAATAAAGGTAAAATACTAAAAAGATTTTGTGACCTTAGAAAAGAAATAGCTGGTTTTATGAAAATGAAAGAGATAACATTGTCGCAAATTTGTGATCCAACTTGGCTCTGTGACTTGGCATTCCTGGTAGACATTACAGGACACTTAAACAACCTGAACTTGAAGCTTCAAAAACAAGGACAATTGGTAAATCAGTTGTACAGTCAACTTATAGCTTTCAAAAACAAAATTCGTTTGTGGAAATTACAAATGAGAAGAAAAAACTGTTTTCATTTTTCAGCATTATTTAGTCACGAAAACATTGAATACGGTCGTTATGCTGAAGAATTGAAACTACTGTCCAAGCAATTTACTAATCAATTTTCCGATTTTTAGAATACGGATAGCACTTTTAATATTTTTGCAAATCCTTGTAAGTGTAATGTGAAAGATGCTCCTCTTCACCTACAAATAGAGTTGATGGAGCTTCAAGAAGACTCATATTTAAAGTCTAAATTTAATAATGTGGAACTAAGCGAATTTTAAAGAACATACTTTTTAAAGAAAAGTATCCACAGCTGAGAGTTTTCGCATACAAAATAGTTTGCACATTTGAAAGCATATATAAATATGAGCAGCTTTTTTTAATCATGAAAATTAATAAAAAAAGCATCGTACGCGAAATACAGAAGTTAATTTAGAAAATATTTTGCTCTTATGTACTAGTGATGTTGACCCCAATATTAATCAACTTGTTTTTCAGCTTCAAACTCAAGTCTTTCATTAATTTTAATTTGATTTTTCTGTCTTTTTTTATTAACTTGATTTTTATATGTTTGATTAAACATAATCATTTAGCTATTATAATTAATAAAAAAATGTTTGAATTTTTGTCGCTTTTTTATTCACTACTACCTACTTATTTCTTGCCTACGGCCCGCGACTTAAATAAGTCCCGAAAATATGCCCTCGGCTAAGCAAAGGTTGCCCATACCAGGTTTAGGGCATAAAATAAAAGTTATTAAAAACACGATGTAAAAAATGTTTAAATGTATGTTCGTTTGCGTTTAGATTATATAAGATTACATTTGAAAGAAGTTAGACATTGTTTGTCTGTGGCCTTATACAGATCTATTGTGGCACTACGTTATCTGGAGTGTTTTATCTAGCTTGGTCTTTTTATTAGACTTAGTAGCTTTGACAGTGATTTCTACATATGCTTCTGACTTTTCTTCACCAAGTTTTAGATATTTCAATCTTTTCAGACCTTCATACTGGTATAGACGTGATTTAATGTTTACTCTTCTGCTTTACAGATCTTGCACCATGTTTCTTTTTCCGCTTGTATCCGGTACCTACTCTTATCCTATATATTTGTCGCTTTTGATTCAGCAGATCTTTTGTGAACTGGACAAATGATTTGAACTATTTGGCCTATCATAATCCTGGACAGTTTCACTAATCCTGAGACCTATTTTGCATCCATTGTTTGATGAATGCCTTGTATAATGCCTTAGCTGCTCTAAAGAATATTTAGTGGCCCGTCATATCCTTATCTGAGCCTTCTTGTACTAGTTCGTCGGCGTCTTCATTGTCCTTATATCCTTTGTGTCCTGGTAACTTTCTTTTGACTATTACGCTCTGTCAGGTCTTCTAGGCAGTCTTTCACCAATCGTGATTTAATTTCTGGTGAGAAAACTATTGCCTTTAGAGCTGCCTGGCTATCAAAGTAATGTCAATAGTTTGGCCTGATACTTGCTAATTTATTATTTAACTTGAACAATGTTGTATGGCTATTAGTTTGGCCTATAATACTGTTGCGTATACTTCTAGCGAAATTGTTCTTTTTGGTATTTATTTATAAATGCTTTATATTTCCAAAGAAATGGTATAAAGTTATTTAAAGCACCATTTTAAAAATGTATAATACGTTTGTTTGCGTTACTTTTTCTATAAAACCACTTCAAAAAATAAAAAAAAAATAAAAAAAACACTAAATTTTTAAATTGCTGTCCCGTTTTTATCTCCAGAAAAATTTTATTCTGAAAGTTGAAATAGGTGTAGATTACACAAAAAAAAATAAAATTGCATTCCGTTAGATATTTTTTTATTTTTGCAAAAGGAAGTTCAACTGTACTAATAATTCGTATCAGCCCCGGGCTTAAATGTAATAATATCATTAACAACTCTACCTATTTTAAAACAACACTATTGCGCAAGTGTGACTTACACTTGACCATTTTTTTTTTAATATTGTGTTTATACTTTGAGTCGAAGAAAAAGTATATAATACAACTCTGGTGGATTGCCAGTATCATGCTCTTACGATTGCGCAATATAGATAAATTGCACAATTAAATTTTTTTAAATATAGTATATTACATTACGAGTGTGGAAAGTGACATTTTTCACACGAGTGGGAAATATTGTCGCACGAGGCACAAACCGAGTGCCACTATCACACGAGTGTGGAAAATCGCTTTTCACAAAAGTGATGTACAATATTTTTTCTACGACCACAAAATATTTTCATAAAAAAATGTAAAACCAGGTTATTATTATAATAATTAAAATGTATTTAAAAAAATAATCAACAATAATCGTATTTAATCAATTTTATATTTTCTAAACAAAAAAAAACCAAAATAAAAAAATAAAAAAATTGTGCATCCGCAAGGATTTGAACGCGGTCGCTCGCCAGGTCTCAAATGGCAAAGTTGATAAAGTTTGATACACTAACCATCTGAACTAATAGGTTTTGTGTTAATTAAAGGATCTAATCGGTTATGTGTTTAACCACAAAAAAGGAAACCTAACTTAGTTATTTTAAAATTATTTTATTAATAATTGTTAAAGATAAATATCTAGGATCTAATATACAACAGTTTCAATAATTTAACAATCATATCAAATTTAGTATTAACATGAACATTACAGAGATCAAAATAGAAATGACGCGTTTGACATTTTGTGACAGCTCATGCGGAAAGTAGCATATCCGTACACGGGGGGAAAGTAAATTCTTATTCATATGCGTGTGATATAGGGCACTTTCCATAGGACTATATAGTGTGATATGTGTCACTTTCCTAAGTGATCGAAGGAAGAAACAATTTTTTCCAATAATATGTTATAATTTAAATTGTTTCTTAATATTTTACTACGCCTTTGTAGATATCATTTGGCACTTTCCTTAAGAATTATTTTATATCGTAAATATATTCATAAATTTAACCGACTGTACGTACCTTTTATTCAGATTTTCCTTAATGTTTACATTTATTTCTGAGCCCGTCAAAGTACGGAATAAGTGAAAATATAGAAAATTGTTTCACAAATTCATTATGAAAGCATTCCGTCTTCATCATTCAGACTCACAATTTGATTAATTACCGCTCTACTGAATTTTGACAGTCGTTTCATGTTTCTGATAGAATTTTAATCTGTTTACTTTAATTTTAGTCACATGAAATAAAATAGTTCATTTCGATGACAATTAAAATATTATTTTATAAACGAGCAATTAGACCATAACACATTTCTGATAATTGATTAAACTCGATGTCAGTGAATTGTTGTGTTGTTTCGTATAAATTATAAATAAATATTTAAATTCATTTACGTGTACATGGATGGATGAAAACGGTATATACGATTTTTGTTATCGTTTAATCAATAAAAAAAAATATAAATAATTGTAATGGTTCAAAATTGCCAAATATACTATAATAGTAAATAAAATTTCATTTTTAAATTAATTAAAATGAGGCTATAAAATAATTTAATTTTATGATGATTATTTGTTTTATATTTGTTTTATATTTATAATACACCTTTGAAATTCCAGAGAGAGAAAATATTAAACTAGCCACATTTGCTGGTGATACCATAACCATAAGTTCAACCATTAAAAAAGCAACAGTTAATTTTCAAAACGAAATGAAGAAAACTCCGCCAAAATTAACTTTACAAAAAAAAGCATAATAGATTATATACCAATAAACTAAAACAACAAGATAATGTCCAAAAAGCAGAAAAATACCTCGATCTAAATCTGGACTCTTATTTAAAATGGAAGCTGCATGTACAGTTAAAAACTGAAAGGCTAACGATTAAATATAAAAATGTATATTAGTTGAGAGGTTTATAAAAATTCCCAAAGCCAGTATGGACCAAAATAATCGGATTTATTAGAAGAAGTAATTACCCAAAAATAGTATAAAAGTGAATTATCAGCAAAATAGTAATTGCTCCATGGTATGATCGGAAAGATATGTACCGAGGGTGGCACAAAATTGATCGAAAAACATTTAATAGAATTAGAAGTATATTTTATTGAATAACATTTGATCGAATAACATTTGATCGAAAAGACAATATATCTAAAATCAACATTTAAAAATAGTAAATTATAAAAAAAAAATCAAACCAAACCATGCAACTATTCGTCTGATGTCTATTACCGGGAAACTAACTCAGCGTCAAATAAGGTATCAATGTCAAATGTCAAGTTGAGAGGTACCTCATCCATTTCATAGCATATCTCTGTCTTTGTTTATGTAAAGATAATTGTAAGAATAATAATTATATCTTCCTCCGTTCAGTCTAATGGGACGCCTACCTTTCTCTCCACCTGAAACGCGGACTGGCCCAATTTATCGGTATATTGTAATTGTGTTGATAGTAATTTCTTTGCAGAGAATATTTTTATTTATTACTTCGACGACGGATTCGAAAGTTTTCTTTCTTCATCTAGTGGAAATATTTTTTAAATAAATGATTAAATACATTTAAATTGATTTTATTTATATTCTAAGGTGAAATAGTAAAGGATTTTTATACATAATATAATTATTGTTCGTCTTTTTTCGTAAATAACCATTATTGTTGTTATAACTTAAATTCGATAATATACACTTGGTATCGGCGCGAAAGCTTTGGATGGCTTTATTTATGGTATATTTAAAGTAAGAAACTGATTTTTGAAAAGTGCTTTAATATACAGTGGCACATACTATAAAATATTTGTTTTTTTAAACAAAATTGCATCAGTCTCACAATTAATTTATAGTGTACATATTGTACATATTATATATGCTCTGTTTTAATTACATAAAAAAATATAATGTATTGGTTGTATCTTTTCTTCGTTCACTGAAAGTAAAAATAGGTCAAAATAAATTAAATATTTAAATAAAAAAAAACTTTAATTACCTACTATTTTTAATGAAACATTTTATTTCACATAACAAAATACAATCACAAGAAAAATAAATTACATCAATTTGTCCTTACAATTTCTTTTATTAAATATTTTAAATCAACTAACTTTGGTTCAGCACATTAACAAAAATTGTCATCTCGCAAGTGGGGTCCAAACTATAAAATAACGATGT